AACAGCTTCGAGTGCCTCAGCGAGGTCAATGCCGCGCGTGAGGCAGCTGGGTTGGCCAACTTCAAAGAAATGGGAGAGGAAGACAAATTGAGCAGTCCGCAGCCACCAGATCTAGAAGATGGCAGCCAGTGGAAAAAGCTTTGCGAACACTTGATCCCAGTAAGTGGCGCAAAAATAATTCCAGGGACACGATCACCACGGCTATCCCCCACTGTAACACTTCCTTCTTCCTTCTGTCTGACGCAGAAAACGGAAACCGCAGCTCAGTCAAAATCAACGAATCCCTTTGAGGCCGGAACATATGCTTTCAAGTCCCTAACTGCCGAGCAACCCAACTGCAAGGAAACGGTTGCTTACTGGAAGGCAGCCTACAAAAACTTCACTGGACTCCCGCCATCAAGGAAGGAAGCTGGAACACTGTACAATAAACAAGACAACGTTTCCTTTGTAGCTGTGTACAACCATCTTATGCCACTGCAGACTGCCGAGTCGTCACGTGCACTCAAACGAATACCTCTACTGCAGGACCTGTAGAGGTGACAACGGATGGGGGCAGCGCGACTACGAAAAAAGGCTACGCGTTGCTTTGCAAGACGATGCCTGCTGCCTTTGCAAGTGACACGTCTGCTCCATTCACGTAAGTAACACGGTGGCCTTCCCGTCACGGATCTGCTCAAGAGGTTGTGATTGCCGTATTTTCGGGTGCATAATGTCCATGCGGTTGATGAAATTTCTCAGGCAGGAGCAGTGGGACAAGATCGTGTCTTCGCTCACAGGTTCTGGATCAGTAGCAGCTCCACGCCTGATTGCTCTTGCCATTGTGACATTCGGAATAACGGCTTTATGATGTTTCACGATATCATCTGGGAACTACCACCTGCACTGTTTTCTGTCTGATTTGTGGTGCCGTCGTGAGACGTGGCACACGCGTCAGCCAAAAACCCTTTCCGCATTTTCTCCAAACCGTCAGTTTGCAAGCTTTTTCCAGCTCAGCCGCGCAATTTCGGCGCAGCTCTGCGTGATGCAGGCTGTGTATAGTTGCAGCATCATCTGGGATGCTAAGGAGCAGATATTTGTAGTTCCAGCTCTCTTGAATGAGAAATTACGTCTGTCATGGTAGCGCCAGCCAATCATTTGCTGATTCCATTCCATGATCAAAGCCACGATACCCATGGTTATCCTGCACTTTAGCATTATCTTCTTCCTTTGCTCAGACGGAAGCAACGGAAGGAGCGGCTGGGCGCAGCTCAACAAAGCCCTTTGAAGAAGGAACATACGCTTTCAAGTCCCTACGTGACGCGGAATCCAATTGCAAGGAAACAGTCGATTACTGGAAGGCTGCCTTCAAAAATTTTACTGGGCTTCCGCCACCAAATAGTAAAGACGAAAACCCGTACAAAAGTCAAGACAACATTTCTTTTGTAGCCCTCTACAAACCTTCATCTAGTGCCACTGCAGACTGCCGAGTCGTTACCTGCATTCAAACGACTACCTCTACTCCAGTTGACGGAGTGGGGTCAACTTATGTGGGAGGCGGTACTACGAAAAATGGCTATGCGTTGATTTGCAAGACGATGCCTGCTGCTTTTGGAACTGGCAGCTCTGCTCCATTCACGTAAGCAACACTCTAGTCCTTGCGTCGCCGTGCTACCCACAAAGCCCTCATTGCTATGAGTTGAAATGAATCTTATCGGCGGGATTCCGGGTGATTTTCAGGCAGGAGCAGTGGGACAGGATCGTACCTTCTCTCACAGGCACTGCATCGATACCAGGTCCAAGCTTTGTTGCTCTTGCGATTGTGATATCCGGCATTACGGCTTTCATATGATATTCGTCGTACCCGCTAGAAAGCGCGACCTGCGTCGTGCTCTGTTTGATTTTTGGTGCAATATTGAGGCATTGCACATATTTCGACCAGGAAACATTTTCGTCCTTTTCCAAATCACCGCTTCACAGACTTCCTCCACTTCTGCCCAACAGGCTAGTCGCAACTCCATGAGATGCAAGCACTATATTCCCACCTAACTTTCTAAGATGCTGAGATATCTATGTTTGCAGTTTCAGCTCTTTTCAGTGACGAACTGTGCTGTTGCTGCAGCGCCTGCCAATCATTTCACTAATTCTGTGATGGAGAAAGGGAGACGAGATGATGCAGGGTTGTATGCTGGCACAAAAGTCCGGCTCTTCGGCCAGACAGTATACTGTCCATGTAATATAAATAGACTTGTTTATAGCGGGTTTGGAGGTAATATGGAGTTGCTTTGCCAGCAGCAGCATTCGCCTGCCACACACACTTCGGTGTTGGAGCAGCACACTCCCTACCACTCGTAAGTTGCAGCTTCTACGTTGCTTTGTGTGTGAAGACGAAGGCATCTCTCGTAACTGCATAGGAGCGTAGCTCGCTGCTAGACGGACGAGACAAACCAGCATGTAGACACGGGAGAACCGATACCTTGCTCCACATAGGGCTTCAGTTCTTCGGATCGCTTAGCTGCGGAACAAACAGCAGTGGCGGACAAACTGCAGTTGAGATCAATATGCAGCATGCAGCCTGCACCTCATTTACTATTTTCAACCTTGAAAAACACGAAAAAACTTCACATCCTAAAATACTATAGGGAGATTTATTTTTGCTAACAGAACGAGACACGCACAGTGTTGCAGGCTTGACGTGTCCTCGTGAGTCTACTACTTAGCTGGCTACAAAGTTGCGTAGATGCGCGCCTTGTTTGAGCCCCCCCGATTGAGATTCATTCTTCCAGAAATTTCCAACTACTAATGCTTTGCATTCGTAATGTTGTGAATTTCAGGCGGTGCAGCTTTGCATGCACGGATCGAGACAGTGCTGCGCGTTTCCAAAGGGCCAGTGATCACAGCTGGTCCCCTCGACGGATTGAGGGCAGCGCACGTGAAGCTGTTTGGTACAAAAATTATTGCTTTTGCACTGCCTTTCTTTTGCACAGCATTCTCAGACAGCCCTGCGCTTTCATATTTTCTCCTGTAAGTTTTTCACATCCGTGATTTTTAAGGCCAACACTCGAAGATGCTGCAGCGGAAGCTACCACCCATTCTCAGGATTTCATTTTTGATGCTGAGCGCCACAACTCTGGGCAACTCACAAGAAACTGAAGAAACAGTCACCTACACTGCATCTCTTGGTATGTGGTGCACATTTACTCTGTTGCACATTCTATTCTGAACCTTAGTGTGACTTGTGTTTGGTGACATGGTACGCGTCAATTTCTGTAGGTGAGTTCCGGTACACGACCCTGATTCCATTCTACCTTTCAAGGAATAGGACCAACTAATACGAAAGGAAAACGTAGGTATGTCTGAATGCAAATGCACTGCTGCAGGCAATAACGTCGAGTGCCTCAGCGACATCAATGCTGCGCGTGAGGCAGCTGGGCTGGACGACTTCGGGCAGGCTTCAGTGACGCAGAATTAAGTGATCCAGCCCCAGAGGAAGGAGAACTAAACGAAAAATGGAGAAAGTTTTGCGAGCATGTGATCCCAGTAAGTGGCTCACAGTATTTCGAGGTAAAGGCCCCCAAGGCCATCCTGCACTGGCATTTCTGTGTTCATTCTCTCCGATGCAGCAAACGGAGACAGCGGCTAAGACAAGCTCAGCGAATCCCTTTGAAAAAGGAACGTATGCTTTCAAGTCCCTCACTGCCGAGCAACCAAACTGCAAGGAAACAATTGATTACTGGAAGGCAGCCTACGAAAACTTCACTGGACTCCCGCCTTCAAAGAAGGAAGGTGGAACACTGTACGACGATCAAGACAACGTTTCTTTTGTAGCTGTGTACAACCCTTCATCTAGTGCCACTGCGGACTGCCGTGTCGTCACGTGCACTCAAACGAATACCACCACTACAACGCCAGGACCTACAAGAGTACAAGCGGATGGGGGCAGCGAGACTACGAAAAAAGGCTACGCATTGCTTTGCAAGACGATGCCTACTGCCTTTGCAAGTGACACCTTTGCTCCATTCACGTAAGTAACACGGTGGCCTTCCCGTCACGGATCTGCTCACGAGGTTGCGATTGCCGTATTTTCGTGTGCATAATGCGCATGCGGTTGATGACATTTCTCAGGCAGGCGCAGTGGGACAAGATCATGTCTTCGCTTACAGGTTCCGGGTCAATAGCAGCTCCAAGCCTGATTGCTCTTGCCATTGTGACGTTCGGCATTATGACTTTATGATGTTTCGTGCTATCATCTGGGAACTACCACCTGCACCGTTTTCTGTCCGATTTCCGGCGCCGTGGTGAGACACGGCACACGTGTCAGCCAAGAAGCCGCAGTATAGCACCTACTAGTACATATGAGAAGCAGTAACCCTTTCGCTTGTTTCCATCTCGACTCACCGGACCTAAGAACGTTGAACAATTCTTGGTTAACTCGCTTTCCGCATTTTCTCCAAACCATCACTTCGCATGTTTCTTCCAGCCCAGCCGCACAATTTCATCGCAGCTCTGCTTGATGCAAGCCGTGTATAGTTGCAGCATTTCTGGGATACTAAGGGGCAGATATTTCAAATTCGAGCTCTCTTACATGACAAACTGTGCCTTCCAGGGTAGCGCCATCCAACTATTTGCTGATTCCGTTATAAATGGGAGGAATGTAGATGCTACTGGGTTGTAAGGTGGCACATCAGCATGTATCCTTGCCCAATTGGTAAACTGAACAATAGAATAAAATCATTTGTGTTGCCTTTGATGCTTCTAGTGGGATTATAACAGTTTTGGAGCCATTTTTTTCTGCCTTCTGCCGTGCAGGGAACAGCTTCCTCCAGCTACACATACTTCGTTATTGAAAATTCCGAGCTGACAATTAGCTACCAGGCATTTGTACTAGTTTTTAGCCTGTGTTGTGGTGTTGGAAGATGTTTTACTCAAGTTGAGAGAAACCCTGCTCGCCGTTACTGGGAAAAGGCAAGACAAACTCAAGACACTGACACCGACAGCTTGCCACCTCAAACGCTTCACTTCCCCTTTACATTCGAAATTTCGTTAGGATAGGCCTGCTCTTTCAGTTGACTAAGGACTGCGCACTCCCAGTCGAGCGCCTCAACACTGTACTGCCCACATCGCCTCCTGAATCTTGTCTATGGGATTGTGGGTCGCTTGCAGGCAGGAGCAGTGGAACAGGATCGTGTCTTCTCTCACAGGTTCCGCGTCGGTAGCAGCTCCAAGCTTTGTTACTCTTGCCATTCTGACATTCGGCATCATGGCTTCATTGTGATGCTCGTCCTACCAGTTGAAAAGCACGACCTACGTCGCGCTCTTCCTGATCCAGTCTGCAATCATGAGGAATGGCACACCTGTCGAGCGAGAAGACATTTCGCATTTTTCCAAACCATCCCTTTACGGTCTTCTTGCAAACACAGTAAGCAAAGGAGCCTTGCAAGGCACAGAGCTACAATTTAATCTCAGCTCTGTGCCTTGCAAGACTCCTTTGCTTACTGTATTTTCTGTAGTTACAAAGAGCTGTTTATTTTAGTTTCGGCTGTGAGAAATTATGCCTGCTTCTGTAGCAGCAGCCGACATTTGCTTATTTAGTGGTAAGGAGAAGAAAGGCAGTAATGCCGGGCTATTAGGTAGCACGCTAGTATGTGCACTTGCCCAAAAGCTAAACTGGCCAACAGAATAAAATTATTTATGACATATCTGGTGTCTCGAATGATATAATGATTTTGGAGGAATACTGGACTGCCGCTGCTTGTGCATTCTACACACACTTCGTCTTTGGAACTGTAAAGAAGCCCAATGAATACCAGGCTTCTTTATTAGCTGTATTCTGCGACGTGGTGTTGGCAGAAGGCCCTTTGCACAACTGTAGTGGAACGCCGCTCGCTGCTGCCGGGGAAAAGGCACAACAGATTGAGGGAACACGGAAAGCGGCACCTTGCTGCGTTAAGTGTTTCAGTTCTCTTTCATATTAGAAATATCTGTTAGTTACACCACTTACTGCAGGCATATAAGAGTAGGGCGCTCCCGCCTGCCTTCCAGCATTGGACACAAGTTTCGAGCCAGCTCTCGTCGAGATGAAGAAGCACCGTGAAGCCTGCAACTCATTTACCATTTCGTGTTTAGAAATTCTGCATATCGTATAAAATGGCATATATACCCGTATTTTGCCTATGGCATACGACATGCACAGAGGTGCGTACGATTCGCTCTTTCATGCTCTATTGTTCAGGGGACTGCAAAGATTTAGTGAGGCGACTTTCTTTAAACCCCTCATTCACACTCATTCCAGCAGGCATTTCCAAAACTCTCTGTCCTTCCACAGTTAATTTGATTGAATTCCAGGTGGTGCAGATTTGCACCCATACACCCATTGTTCAGTGGTGCGCGTTCCCCAACAGACGGCCACCGCTCACAAACGGATCTCCAAAGAGGAATTGATGGCAGCAGGAAACATTTTGGCTACCAGTATAAATTCCTTGTGCACCACCTTCGCTGAAATCCTTGCTTCTTCAAATTCTTCTTGCAGTTTTGTCGCAGCCGTGACTTTTAAAGGTCACTTCTCAAAGCTGTTTCATTGGAGCACACCTTTGCTTCTCGGCGCTTTGTTCTTGGTGCTGATCGCCTCAACTCTAGGTAGCTCGGAAGGAGATGGAGCAACAATCCAGTATACAGCATCTCTCGGTAAGCTGTAAACCTTTAGGCTGCTGTTCATTTCGTTGTGAAGCTCACGCAGTCTTGCGTTCAGTAGCATAGAGACAGGATCTCAGCCTACACCTAAAGGTGAGCTCTGCTGCGCTATCTCCCCAAGTGAGCCCTACTACGCTGCGCACCGTCCAGTATACTTTCGAG